GAACAGTGCCCATTTACAATCTTGTTTACTGCAGATGATCGGGCGTGTCACTGGATGGGTTGGCGCGGACAGCTCGTTTCTTTTCTTTCGGTAAGCGAGAAGACTGAATCATATCATTCGTGAGCTGTTTTCACCAGTTGCTGTCGCTTGCTGGCCTATATAGCCTATGCTAACGGGCTAGCGACGCGCCAAATTAGCCTACTCTGATACGCCTTATCATCGAACAACACTGTAGAACAACACTATACGTCCATAAAATGCAGTACCGGGGCAGCACAAGAGCAACAAACCTTTTCTCATTCTTGAGGCTCATAATCTCGTCTAACACTGAAGTATTTCTCCCGATTATCATCGAGGAAAGCCACAAATTCGGATGTCATGATCTTCAGTGCCTGTATGAAATCATGAAATGAGGAATATGAAAGATTACTCTGTCTTCTCGTAAGGTGACAAAGCATCAAACAAAATAATAGCCTACCAATATAGCATCCGAATCTTGAGGTAGGTGAGAAAATTTCTCGGCGAGGCAATTGAATAACCTCAACAGGTGTGGAAGACCAAATACGGAGGAGTGTCGCACCGGGACAGTTTTATCGGGCAGTATGGCAGACCCTTGAATTACGATTGTTTTCCTATCGATGAAATTCTTCGAAAATATTTAGAGAACAGAGGAAAACTCCCACGCACTTGCTCTAATCCTTCATCACCCTATGTACACCACCAGCTTCGCTGACCGCCTGCCCCACTACTGCGCGCATGATCAAACTATGGCTCTTGAATCACTGACAGCATTTTAGTGCAGCATTTAACAAGTGGCCTAATTCCCATGTTCAAACGAGCTGCCTTTTAATCAATATTTAACACTTACAGTAAGCATTTGCCCAAATGTCTAGTTGCTTCATCAGCATTTGTAAAAACACCCACATTGTTGGAAGTAGAAAGCCTTAGCGGGTTGAAAGAATTTCGGTAATTGGGATCTTATGGTTAGTGAAAGCTCGTCATATCCTAGCGCTCCCGCTGAACAACTTTCACGTATCCGTTTGCTGGTGTTCTTATTATGTTCACTGGAAAACATTCTTTAAGGCTTTTACTTTTGGAGTTGAAAATTGGAGCGTTTACGCGGGCGGAGGATCCGAATCGATTCTCGACTATCGCTGAAGGAACAGAACAGTTGGCTCACTGCAGTATTTGCCCCACCGGCTTGCCAGCTCAAGGACTTCGACTGGTCGCTGCGGTGCACTTGAATTGGTCCCTTTCTTAGGTTTACTTGATACTCAGCTGTCTGGAATTCCTGCCACCCACCAACAATGTTCCCATCCTGTCCCCCCCCCATCTTACTTTTGGAACCAACGTTCTACAGTTTCTCTGAAGCGAGTCTTGAAATTGGTGATCCCCTTTAAGAACCTATACGATTCTGGTCAAGCTATTTATCACGTCCCGCACCACCAATTAATGTTCCCATCCTGCCCTCTGTCCTACTTCTTGGAACCAACCTTCCGCCACTGCTATGACCCGCGCTAAGAAAATGGTGACCCCTCCCTTCCAAGGCTCTTTATGGTATCTTATCAGCTGTTATCACGTCCTGCCACCCACCAATAATGTTCCCATCCTGCCCCCTATCTTACTTCTTGGAGCCAACGCTGTTATGAATTTGCTGATTTTGCCTTTATAAGGTCCCTTATGGTATCTTATCAACTGTTATCACTTCCTGCCACCCACCAATGGTGTTCCTGCCCGACCCCCTAGATCACTTATAAGTTTGAGCGCTTTATCTCCGCTTAATTTGGAAGAAGAAACGAATGATCTCGCGTATTTAATTTCCACCACTTTTCAAACCAACACTTCAGCCAATTTCTCAAGTGAGAATTCAGCACTTTTCAAACAAATTCAGCCACTCTTCTTGGACCAGGCAGTTCGCCAACCAAATCACGCCAGACACCACCGCGAACCCTGCCCCGACGGTCACGACTACTTGTCAGCGCGGACATAGATTTTCAACACATGACTGACTCCGCCCATTCTTTAAAGTTTGTTGCGAACTTCAAATCTTCATAACTTTTTCAATTTTTGATTTCACATCCACTCTTCGCACAACGAAGGTACTCGTAGACGCGCATTCATGCACCGGCAATTTAGGCTCCGCCCCTTTGGACACGCCCCCAAAACATTTTTGCATTTTTGGACTGCCCCGATGGGCCCGTCCCACGTATGAGAGCGGCCGCAGTTGGGTGGGGGGGGCATTTCCTTTCCATAAGTTGTGCCGACCATCTAGGTAGCGTTTTCTCGAGTTGACACGTTTTGGGATGGTGGCTAGACGATCCTGCTCCAGCTTTACAAGAGTTCACAAGTTTTACCAAAGTGAGATTTGCAAACCGGAACAAGGGAAGCAGTGATAGTACAAAATGCCCCCCGTCGATAAACAGCGCCTGAACATGGCTCCAACTTCAACAAGAAGCCCGCCACTTTTTCAAAATGGCTTGCAGGTCGGCAGTATAGAGCCTTGGCTTGCATGCTTGAACTCCTCCGTCACTCGGAACAACATAAAATCAGGCAAAGTTGGTTCCTAATGACCAGCAATACCCTTGCCATGCAAGCCATGGCTCTATACTGCCGATTTTGCACCATTTTTGAAAAGTGGGCGGGCCTTTTCAAAAGTGGGCGGAGCCTCTCACAGTGGGCGGGGCTTCATGGAGCAGTCCAAAAATGCAAAAATTTTGAAAAATATCAAAATTCCGCAAAAAGCAAGTGGGCGTGCGCAGCCAAACGCGGCGGTGAGGCATATGATCGCTGTCGTGCATGGATGCGCGCCTACGAGTACCTTCGTGAGTGGATGCAAAATTAAAAACTGAAGAAGTTATGAAGATTTGAAGTTCGCAACAAACTTTAAAGAATGGGCGGAGTCAGTCATGTGTTGAAAATCTATGTCCGCGCTGACAAGTAGGCGTGACCGTCGGGGCAGGGTTCGCGGTGGTGTCTGGCGTGATTTGGTTGGTGAACTGCCTGGTCTAAGAAGAGTGGTGAATTTGGTTTGAAAAGTGGTGAATTTGATAGTGAAAATATAATTAATTAGTATATATAATTCGCTCGTCATTTGTTTGTTTGTAAGTGCTTGTAAGGAGCTTGCCAGCCTAAACTGTGAAAGAACATCCAAAATGGGCGGGCGGTACTCAGAATGCGGCGGGCGCTTCACACAAAAACTCAGTAACCGCGGCGCAGAGTGTTTTTAGAAGTCGCAAAAACTCAATGCCAGAATGTAAATATCTACGCGACGTGTTGGGCACGCTCAAAGCCTGTTGAGACCGCGCTACAGTGGCGCGCGAGCTTGTGCCATTTCATCGCCAGGAATACTCAACTTTAAAAGCTTTGTAGCTCAGTTCCAGAACACTCCAAAAACCGGAAAAAAGAGGATCAAGCTCAGCGAGGGCTGGGCCGATTGTTTGTGGGGCACAAACATTGTGGGCGGCGCCTTGAACGGTTCCAGAGCACTGCAGAGACCGGAAAAAAAGTGGATTAAGGTCAGCACACGGTCGCCGGTGTGAGGATTTTGGGCACAGACATGCGGGCGGGCCTGCTCTGAGGGTGAGGCGGAGCCAGACAAAAATTCTGTAAAACGGTCCCAGAGCACTTCAAAGACCGGAACAAATTGAGTTGGTCGCCCATTGAGAAATGTGGGGCATAAATGTTGTGGACGGGGCCAGCCCGAGGTGGGCGGAGCCAGACAAAAAATCTGCAAAAGGGTCAACATGTAAGCAGATATGCGCAGGACCTCATCTGCAGGAATATACGGCAAGAGTTGAGGACATGTCTTGTCGGCTGTTGCAACCCGCTCCCAGTGGCGCAGCCGGGCCGTATCAGAAGGAGGCGCCGCGGCGTCAGCCGGCGAACCGACTGGTCTGTACATAAAAACCACTGCGGTTATCCGGTAGTTTTCCTCTTGTACTTTAATCAAACTGTACGCTCACCCCTGACGTGTGCAAGGCAAACAGTTCAGCAGCCGCAGTTGTGTATCACTTTATTAGCTCAAAAAAGCACGGAAACGGGGCTGTGAAATAATGGCACTCGAGCGTCGACTTCTAACTCCTCCCGCGCTATGTTCAAGTGCAGCACTTGCGTCGATCAAGATTCCGCAGCAAAACATGCACTCAGCGCGTGAGAACAGCCAGAAGTAAGAGAGCGCAGACAAGTAGCGCGCTTCGCTATATTAGGGCGTGTGTCTGGACTTACGAGACGTGCATCACTACCTCACAGCCCCCTTCCCTCGTACTTTTGAGCACATTTGGTGGCACGCTGCTGTAGCTGCGAACCCATTCTTCCCACATACGCGGCAATAAGCAGGACTCACGGACACATTCCGCGACTACCAAGAAAGTGTGGCTCTCTCAGTATACGGACAAGACAGTTGTAATTTGCGGGAGCATCGCGCACAACGGACCGTGCGGCCATAGACGCTGTCCAACTCGAAAGTAGAGTGTAGATTCCATGCTGAGGATATAGGTTTCGTCCCTTCAACAAACACATTCAAACGGTCAGGCAGGACAACTCGTCCTTGTCGGCGCAGCGTCCCTCCTCACACATATCAGCACTGCATATTACGATTGTCTTTCAGGATCTCGATCCTGCAGCACAGGTCTGCAGAATGTTTGCGATTTCACTTTCCTCCATTAGAAAGTGGCGTCGCAAATGCGTGGGCGACTGAAATTCCCACTAGCTCCACCTACTCCGTGTCTGCGCCCAATAGCTCCACCTACTACGTGTCTGTGCCCTCGAAGCTACAGCTGATAAGTAAAGTTCAACTTCATATCGCTAGCGCGTACTGAATGTGTGGCCTGGCTAGCCTCTCGCAGAGCGCAGCGGGTCTCTTCGCCATATGCTCGTGCAATGCTAAAGAATTCAACCGGGCCTTATCTGAGACGTTCTTGATTCCTTTTGCTCCTTTCTTCGCTGACTAATAAAGCAGCATCAACAAATTCACTTTCAAATCTTACTATTCATAACTCGTTCTAACGCAAACTGTCTTTAAGTATGTATCGAACCAACAAAAAGATAACGGCAATACCTAAATGCGGCTGCGCATTTGTACCGTCGGCACCATTCAAATTTAGAAGACGTTGCCGTAGTAATTCTGACTGATACTGATCACGTTCAGGTGGATACAACAGGAGTTTCCTAAAAGAAGCTTATCTCGGAATTGGGTTGTGAAACACCTACAAATCACTGCAATAAAAATCAACTGATTCGACTTTCGCGCGCAGTAGTGGTCAGGAGATTCGCGTCACGATGTACACAAAAATTAGTACTTTCCGTAAAGCTGGCCCGACATATGGCAGCGCTTTCACATGAATATTATTGGTGCGAATGCCGCGCACGTGACACCATTTGGGAAAGTGTCGTTCCCGATAAGTGTCATACCTTCCAGCGGAACCACAGAAAACCACGGTAAACAATAAGCGACAAAAAATCAAAGAAATACCAGATCAACTGAATAGAAAACTTGACCATACCCAAGCATCATGTTGAAATAATCCGTTATCATTTGACACGACTGAAGAAGACCATTCAAGTGACTGCAGTTAACGTCGTCACCATAAGTAACGGTTACGTTTTCCGCTCCCCATACAATGTCGATATCGTAGGTATACAGGAACTGTAATACGATCACTTCTATACACTAATATTCATATCTTTGGAAATCTCGGAGAACTTGTTTCTTTTGATGGCTGACCAAAGGTAGGGGACGTTGTCCGACCTGAGCGGGGGAGTAACGATAATTTCTTCAATTTTGTGACAATGCAGAGAAATGTAAGCTCTTGTAAAGCTGCTAAATGGAAAGCCAAAGCTTCGCGATCCGCTTAGATAAATTTCTGTAAACAAATGAAAAAGTATCAGCTTCATTTTGTACGACTTGCTTGCTCCTGTGTATCTCCTCACAGGAGTTCACAAGTCTCTACAGCTACAGCAACTGGAACGATGACGCCGCCCTTTCTGCGCAATCGTGCCATGTAATATACCACTTTGGTTGCCGAGCACTAGTGCGGGCATCTTATGGGAAACCCTACGGAACCGGTAACTGACAGTACATCTGTACCTCTCCCAAGAGTTGGCTCAAGCTCCTTTTTTTAGATACCACCCACCTCTATTCGCTCCTACAAATGACCAATTACCGATGTTTATGCATATCAGCTAATCACATTTGTTACCTACTCTTGCTAATTGATTAACTGCTTGTTACCTGCCACCTAAAACTAAAGCTCTACGATTTGGTAGAGTAGAAGACTTGCAACCTCGAAGTCGAATGACGGCGGCAAGGCCCCTTATCTACCCTATCAATTGCCATCCCTGTCTGTGCCCATTAGTAATATCCCCGTCACATCCCTGTAACAACTACTGAGACCACCGTTCTAATTCCCCTAGTCTGACCTTATCAGCACTTGACACCTGCCTTGCACCAATAGTATCTCTGTCTCATATCTTACAAGGAAATGGTTTGAACTTCCCATGGAACTTTGAATGGAGACCTAGGTACATCGATAGAGCCTCGAATGCTGATTACGAATATGCAGATTAAAAGTGCTACGGGGACCTCCCAGACGAGATCTGGGTGGTCAAAGTTTGAGTTCTGGCTCGTAAGCGCTGCTGATCGATGCCTCGGCAGTGCCACCGTGGCCTCGTGGTAATGGTCTCGCTTTCAAGTCAAACGCATGCGGGTTTGCATCCGGTTGGCGCGGAAATTTTTGCTTCGCTCCGTATAAGAGCTTCAACTCTAATTTTCGAAATTCTTTCCGAATTACGGCAGCCAGGGCAAGTAGATCAAGTACATCAAGTATACGACGTACTCGATCTAGTATGGATTTGGTCATATCTGCCCTCTCTGAACATATTACCCATCCGACAATTCAAAGTTTTAGCGAGAAATTCGCGAGATTTCGACCCCCTGAACACGAATATCACATCCTTCGACGAAAAAACCGCTCGTCTGGCCCAAATTTGTGATTCTGGGCAAAACTTTGAACTGTCGGATGGGTAACCTGTTCAGAGAGGGCAGGTATGATAAAGTACTGGATCGAGTACGTCATATATACTTGATGTACTTGATCTACTTGCCCTGCTGGGCCGTAAATTCGGAAGAATTTCGAAAATTAGAGTTGAAGCTCTTATACGGAGCGAAGCAAAAATTTTCGCCAACCGGATGCAAGTGTTGAAAGCGAGACCATTACCACGAGGCCACGGTGGCACTGCCGAGGCATCGATCAGCAGCGCTTACGAGCCAGAACTCAAACTTTGACCACCCAGATCTCGTCTGGGAGGTCCCCGTAGCACTTTTAATCTGCATATTCGTAATCAGCATTCGAGGCTCTATCGATGTACCTAGGTCTCCATTCAAAGTTCCATGGGAAGTTCAAACCATTCCCTTGTTAGAGGCAACTTTACGCTGTTGCTGGGACCGGAGCTATGGAATTGTTGAGCCTCCCTTTCTAGCGTGCCTAAGAAGATCTTATAAGCTGCTACCACCTTCTGCCACCCACCAGTAATGCTGCGTCGCACAGACTGCATCTCTTATCAATTCAAACACTCTGCGGTTAAATTAAAGAAAGAAATGAATTTCCGGTCAAACGCACACATACTCCAACAGACAAACTTAGCGGATTATAGATATGGGATACTAATCAACACTGTGACGCAAAAAGCTAGGCCTATCATAATGACACCCGAAGTCCGTATCTCAAGGCGATATGTGCCTTGGGAGGGGTAACTCTACAGCGAGGCATGGTCACATCATGTTCCGGCGAGTAATCCACCTTATGCCTGGGCGGTAGAGAGAAGCTGGCATAACCCAACGCGACAGAGACATCAGCGTGCTGTCAAAGCTCACGAACAAGTTCGTTTCTAGTTCCTTCTCGAGTTCTCAACAACAAATTTGCCAATTTTGATGGGATTGATACTACATACAGTACCCTAGAACCCTATATTCTCACCTCAGCAGCTTATATGTATTGCCATCGACTGGACCATAACTGCTAAATGAACAGAAAATAGAATAGAATTGTAAACCCAAGAGAACTACCTCAACTAGCAGCACGTCAATAGGATAAGCGGCAGGCAGTTTTGTTAACAAACGGCGATGAATAACAGCATCATGATCTTTCTCGAGAATATCGCAAAGTGACTTCGGCAGACATCCATAGTGCTGAATTTCTCAACGATACTCTATCAACATCACGTAGAAAGGAAGATGTGGAATGAGGCACTTCGGCGACGAATAGGGGGGGGGGGGGGGGTGGCGCAATTCGCATTTTTGCTACTTCACATCGACGTGTCCAGCTATCCAGAGAACTGTTTCATGATCTTACAAGAGTTGACAGGAGTTAACCAGAATCTTCGCCATGGTGGCTGCACGAGCTTGCTCCAGGTTCACAAGTGTTCACAGGTTTCACCAGACAGACTTGTAAACCGGAACGAAGCAGTGACCAGTGACAGTGCAAAATGCCCCCGTCGCCGAACTGCACCTGTGAAATAATATGAACAGATGTCGGACTCACATATTTTATGGAGCTTATATCGAAAGTTGGCTCACTTTTCACCACTTTACCTAAAATTCAGAATAGCATCCTTTTTGACTCCGGCGTTCGGTAAAAAAAAAGCAATTTGCTTTGTCTGACTGGCGAGTTCTATTTAAATTATATGCAAGAAATACAGATCGATAACAGTGTAACATAAGAGCGCATACATACTTCGTGATCGAAGTATGAACGCGCTCTAAAGCGTTTCTGTTTCGGAATAAGGGGGAGGGGTCATGCTGCGAGAATCCGATTCCTGGTCAGCTGCGCTTTTCGCTCTTTTGAAGACAAACTGTACACTCACCTTTGTGGACACTGGTCTTAGCCCTGTATGGGGAGAATAGGTCCATGTCTCCGCTGCAACAGTATCGGGCCACTTTCTTCTGTTAAAATATCAGGTAAGGAGGAGATAGGGTAGTGAAACCTTGTCGCCCGCGCGAGCAGCCAAATGTCCGAATGTAGCCAAACGCGGCATTTGTTTCGCTCTCTCTCACTTCTCTACCGCCGACTGCGCGTTTCGCTGGGGGAACTCGCTATCGACGGAAGTGTGCACCTTGTGGAAGCGCGGGCAGAGTATGGAGACAGCACCCAGGCACCGCTACCCTCTAGCCCCGCTCCCTCATTTTTGCGCACTAAAAACGATACGCTTTTGCGACTGCGGACCTATTCGCAAAACGGTAAGACCGTGCTCGGGGGTAAGTATACAGCTTGTCTACAGTGGTGGGTGTTAAGCAGAAGAGACCATGATGCGAAAAAGCAGACTCAGCCATCCCCCTCCCCTCATCCCCAGAAAGGTCTCACGCCATGACACTTAAAATTCTAGCAAGCTTACGCGATCGACTCTCCTCTTCGCCACCCCGTCACCTGCCCTTCACCCCTCCCTCAGCTGAGTAACTAACTAACTGACGTAACTTTAACTGTGAGTAAAGGACTACTACAAACCAGCAGAGGAAACACATTATACAATAAAATGAAAAATGATTATGTGTATTCATGGAAGAGCAAAAGTTAAAATCATGAAATAAGAACATACGACGTGGTGCCATTACCGTAGAACTTTGTGATGAAACACTGGCAGCATCCTGAAAACGTGAAAAGTCCAAAAATCACAAACTGAAACGATCGTTCCCATTAATAAAGTTGAAGTTTAGACAGAATACTCACAGAAACTTCCTTTAGTTTTGATTTTTCGCTTCTTTTCCAATCTAGCAGCCTCCAGTTCAGCCTGGAAATGAGGGATTTAAAAAAAGGTAACCATACCCGATCACTTCCGTTATCTGTTCAACCACCCTTGACCAGAATGGACATTGATTTAAACCTTGGTTTTCAGGAACTCATCCAATCCAATGTATTTCAGGAACCTTGATTGTGCTGTGCGATCAATTTTGAGGATAGCGGAACAGCAGGATTAAGGGACTACTTAGGCATGATCACAATGGAAAAGGAAATTGTGAAGAAAAGTTAAACCTATTACTTTACTCGTATCCCGTGTCCCACTTTTGCCCACAACTCAGCATTCTTGTGATAACTTTCGGATCGCGCACTGCGGCGTTAAACAGCAGTTATCAAACAATAACAGCTGACTGATAGCGTTTTTTGTGATGATTATAAGAGGTCTTCAGTGGCAGCAACTTTACCGCGGCACCGGCGTTTTGAGCGTTACTGGGCACTTTGAGCTGTTGGCGGGCAATTGCTGAAAGCTCGTGTGAACGCTCAAAACGGTGGATCGATATCCGTGCTTTTAAGACAATTCCCGCGACCAAGTATTATAAGTAATCGTTAGCAGGCGTTCAATTATGAAACAGCAGCTGATAAGTAATTTTACAGTTGAGAAAGAAGCAAAAACACATTGAGAACAACTCAAACGAGACCCCTCCCTGATAGCCACACAGCCTCATTATACGAGCACTGCAAACTTGATGGCAACTCGACACTCTGCGGCCTCTAACCCCTAGCTCACAAAACGTTTCTTCGCATC